CCTGGAACCAGGAGGCATCGCTGCCTGTCCTACCCACCCACATTACCCCCTGCTTCCCTCCCCTCCCCGTGGGACATCCCTGCATTGTTCCACTGGGATGCGACACGGGGCAGCAGAGCAGGACCTGTCCTGAATCCAGGAGCAGAGGCCATGGAGGCAGGAGGTGCGGTGCTGCTGCCCAGCACCCGAGGGGCATGCCACTTTGCAGAGAGCCCAAAGAGGAGGAGTGGAGGGGAAACGTATTTCTCCGGTGGCTGCAGGCCAAGGGGACGGGGTGAAGGGCTGTGCCCGGCCCGAGCCTCCAGCCTGTGGGGTTTCATGCTGAAAATATAATGTAACTTTAAAGTGATCCCATTCACCACCCAGACATGCACGCACACACACGTGTGCATGCATGCACACACGCCCTGGCACACACACCACATCCAGCACCACAGAGCCCAGGACCTGTGCTGCTGCTCCACCTCCCCAGAGCTGCTAAAACCCCTGGAAAACCTCAGTCCCGTACCAGGGAACAGAAGTTACTTGCCCTCAAACAAGCACCCCCCCAAAAAAGTGTCCCACCCCCACGGTTTCCCCCTGACACAGGCACATCCCAGCAGGGCGGCCCCGCAGAAGGGTCCTGCTGCTCCTCCAGCCATAGGACGTTTGTGGCATGGGCCCTGGGGCACATTCCCAGCAGTTATTAAAGGCAGCCCTGTTGGGTCCATGCTGGATGGTGATTTCAGCACTTTTGTGGCCCTGCTGCTTCATCTGCCACCTCTCACCCCTCCTGCCATCCGAGGCTGCCCTGACTGTGAGTGTGTGACCCTGGGGCACCCAGGAATCACAGGGTACCTGCAGGGCCCTGGGTCACCGCAGTCCCAGGCTCCCCCCTGCCCCAGCCCTTACCTAGAGGAGGATGAGGATGACACAGGGGCTGCAGGCTCGGCTCAGCATCCGCTGGGTTCCTGCCCTCCGCAGAGCCTTCTTCCCCAGGGATGGGTTTCCCTGCCCCTCTGGCTGGGGGGCTGCAGTACTCAGGGGGGATGAGCTTCCCCACCTCTCCCTGCTGCAGGCTCCCTCTCTGGCACTGGCTCCTTCACCGCCCTCGCTCCATCCCTCACTCCCTGTGCCAGCAGCAGAGCTGCTCCAAGCCCAGCCTCATTAAAGAGACACACTCCCTGGTACCATTGCACCGGGAAGGGCCAAGGGATGCTCTCACGGGTGCTGCTGGGGGTCTCAGGGGACAGCCAACACCCCCAGAAGGTGACAGGCACAGGCCCAGAGCAAAGCCCAGCACTGTGGGCTGGTCTGCACCCACAGCGTGGCAATGTCCAGTCAAACTCGGGTGCTGGTGAGACCTCAGGGTGATACTGTGGCACCCACAAACACGGGGTTTGGCTGCCTGGGACATGTAGCTGCCCGCTGTGTCCCCCCCAAACAAAGCACAGGGCAAAATGCAAATACCCATCAGCCAGCTGAACTCTCCAGTACAAATACCATGGGCCACAAGCATCACAACCAGCTTCACTAGGAAAGGTCTCAGCTGCCCTGAGACCATCACAAAAGAACTGGGCACAGGTGGATGCTGAGCATCTGCCCCAAACCCAGGTGCCCTGAGGTCCCACTGGGGCTGTCCTCATCAGCCTCCATGTGCTGCAGTGAAACCCTGCCCTGAAAAGCAGGAAAGACGGGGGGGTTTGGGGGAAGCCCAGCCTTCGAGTGACAAGTATGACAACAAGCTCCCTTGGGGAGAGTGCAGACGGTCAGGAAATCCCAGCAAAGCCAGGACATGTCTGCTGGCAGGGAGATCTCACAGCCTGGGGTGCGCTGGGAATCCCTCAGCCGCCACTGCTGGCCCAGCATTCCCGAGCAGGACTGGAGAAAACTGTCAGATCTGGAGCTAATCCCTGCCCTGCCTTTCGCAGGCAGCTCCCTCGCTGTGCTATAGATAGGGCTGTGCTGCCGCGGCTCTTTTTATAGAGCACCCAGAGGGGAGCCCCCACCCTCCCGTGCACCGCGAAACCCACCGACGCAGTCACACCGAACCGGAGCCCAGCCCAGCTGCACGGGCACGAACCGGGGCAGGAAGAGCAGGCAACACCAGCAGGGTGAGCAGGGTCTCCAGTCCTTGGCAGGTGATTTCGCAGTGGCGATGGAGTGAGGAGGCCTGGCAGAGCACCGTCTCCCCACTGGATCTCGCCTCTCAGCCGATCACACACGCTGCGATGGCTTTGGCTCCTCAGCACGGATTTTGGAGGTGATGGCAGGTGAAAAGGGGGAAAATCTCAGTGGAAGACGCCCTTTGCCGCACACAGTAGCATGGGGCACGCTCCCTCCTCCCAACCTCTTACCCTGCGCTTCAGCCAACACATTTATCTGGCAGAGAGGCACTCTACATGTCCCCGGGGTGCCTGCAAAAGCATGCTGAGCCATTCCCTCTCCCTGTGCTGGATGCCCCACGGCATGCTGCTTCCCCTCCCTGTGCTGCACAGGGAGAAAGGAGAGCTAAAGTGTGCAGC